ATGCTGTCTATAATGTATACTGCATGTTTCTTATCTGTGACAATATTTTATGTGAACTCTGAGACTTTTTATCGAAATGTAAGTGAAAACGTAGTTTTCCTTAAACAGGATTTACACAGCGCGGAGATTGTGAACTTTGAAGTCAAGAGTAGCAGTCAGTAGGTTTTAAAATTATTCGGCAATTTGAAAACAACTATTAAAACTGAAAGATACCCTTTTTTAAGTATAGCCCAATAAGTATAACCGAAATTCCAGTAGGTATATTTGGTAAGGAAATAGGCGATGAAGTTACATTTTGATTTCCAGAGTTGCTATTTGCTTTTAAATATAAATAGGCATATAAGAACCGTTCCTGTGGGTCTGCATTTTACGTGCCCATTGGTACTGAACTAGATCGCCTACCAAAGCTTCATGAAGTACGCTGACATCAATTTCAGTTTCCGATAATAAATTCCTATTTGTAATACGCAAATGTTTGCGCAAATTTCAAACGTGCTAAAACCATTCTGTGTGGATTTATCGACTCTAGTAGCATATAGGCAAACTGCTAACATTCCTTTTCCCTTACTGTTGCTATTTAGCATATGTTTACATTCTCTTGCCGTCTGTTGGCAACGAGCAGAAAATGTCGTGGCAAGTGGACTCCCTAAAGGAGCCATATGACTACGATTCGATTATGCATTACGCCCAGCGGATCTATCAAAATGGCAAAATGATTGAAGAGGTAAGGCCTAAGGACCCGAACGCCAAAATTGGGCAGAGGGAGAAGCTCAGTGAGGGTGATATCCAACAGGCAAACAAGCTGTACAGCTGCCCTTGTAAGTACAATTAAATTCATGTTCGGTTTCCTTATCCTTACATGTTCTTGCTATGTAACTGACAGGCAACGGACGATAACTCGACGCTATAGTTGCTGCTGCACTCTTAGCAGTAATTGTCATATGTGGAGCTCAATACAGCACAAGAAGAACCCACGCTTCTGTAAAAATGGAACGGTGGCAATAGGAGGTAGCGGCTATGGCATATCGGCGGAACGAATATATGTGAAGCATTAGAGCGCATAAAATAATAGGAATGATTATTTAACTAACGTTATGTTTTCACGCATTAATAAATTAAGAAATACATCCATAAGAAAATATTTAGCGCACTATAATACGCGCGAATTTGGTACAATCGATTGTCGACTTAATGTGGACGCTTTAGCGAAAACCATTTC